TGCCCAACATCCAGGCCGTCCTGCTGCCCAAGAAAACCGAGAGCCACAAGGTCAAGGCAAAGTAATTCCAAGTTTTGGCAACGAAGAACTCCAAAGGCTCTTCTCAGAGCCACCTACGGTCTCACAAAAAGGCTGATTCCCTGAAAGCTCTTCGCATAAGCAAGGCATTTCGGGGGAAAGTAATTACTTCGTCTACCAAACGAAAAAGGTAGCGGGTTGGAGGGCCACGAGGGTGAAGACTCAAACGTCTGTATTCCAGAAAATGCGCGCGCGTAGACCCAAATAACAGGTTTTAAAACGTTTTACGGTGCCATTACTTCACTAGTAGGGGGGGTTGCAATTTTTTTATCCTGCCTTTCCCTATTGCGCCCCCCCCCAAACCTTGTGAAGTGGGCTGGGACTCTAGCTGGCTTTCATGCGTAAGGCGGGATTACAACTCACCGTCCCCTTTTCTAGCCTGGAGCGTTCACCACTACAGCAAACTACTTTTTCCCAATAATACCTGCCTCTTACTCTTATCACGCAGCAAGACCTTTTATATGCTGCAGCTCTTCTTCTGAAAATGTGGGTGGCCCTTAAAAGGGCCGTTATGTCTGTCTGTAGTCCGAGAATTAGCCTCCAAAGCCATACAAGGTACGGCCCTGGCGCTTCAGGGCATACACTACATCCATGGCCGTCACGGTCTTCCTTTTGGCGTGCTCGGTGTAGGTCACGGCATCCCGGATAACGTTCTCCAGAAATACCTTCAACACTCCACGAGTCTCTTCGTAGATCAACCCAGAAATTCGCTTCACGCCTCCACGGCGAGCCAAGCGGCGAATAGCCGGCTTCGTAATGCCTTGGATGTTATCTCGGAGCACCTTCCGATGTCTTTTCGCCCCCCCTTTCCCCAAACCTTTTCCGCCCTTTCCACGACCAGACATCTTACACAGACACCCAACAACCAACACAGAAAGAAAGACTAATCCTGCTGCTTGTCTAGGTATGGCTTATATAGAAGAAGTTCCGACCAGAAAGGAAACTTTGCCACTAGCGCTTAATTGGAGTCCAATAGGCACAGCATATGTTACCATTGTCCAATCAAATATAGCGTGTTTGAAATGGCTCAATCAGAGCCGATTCTAACGGAACTGTCGCCTGACCACTCGCCCAGCCAATTGCTGCTCAGCCCTGGAAATTCAAACGTCTTAACGGATGTTTCTTATGCTTCAGCCAATCAGGCTGTGCGAACTGCCTATAAATACCCTGAAGAACAGCCGCGTAGTTAATTCGTTCTAGTGTGGTTTGCGCAATGGCTCGTACCAAGCAGACTGCTCGCAAGTCCACCGGCGGGAAGGCGCCCCGTAAGCAGCTGGCCACGAAGGCGGCCAGGAAGAGCGCCCCGGCCACCGGGGGCGTGAAGAAGCCCCACCGCTACCGGCCCGGGACTGTCGCCCTGCGGGAGATCCGCCGCTACCAGAAGTCGACGGAGCTGCTGATCCGCAAGCTGCCCTTCCAGCGGCTGGTGCGCGAGATCGCGCAGGACTTCAAGACCGACCTGCGCTTCCAGAGCTCGGCCGTGATGGCGCTGCAGGAGGCGAGCGAGGCGTACCTGGTGGGGCTCTTCGAGGACACCAACCTGTGCGCCATCCACGCCAAGCGCGTCACCATCATGCCCAAGGACATCCAGCTGGCGCGCCGCATCCGCGGGGAGAGGGCTTAATTAACTACCACGAGAGTACCTCGTTTCTAAAACCCAAAGGCTCTTTTAAGAGCCACCAACTCTCCACGAAAACTGCTGATAACGCTGCCCAGACTAGAAACCCGAATGCGGTCAGGGTAATTACACATACGAAACACCGGCCTGAAAATTATAAGTTTCCAATGTTTTTCCCCCACTTACAGTTTTGTAGTGATTAAAGCCGTGGCTTTGACCCGCGGGGAATGAAATAATCCGGCGATGATATGCTGGACTTCTACAGGATTAAGATACCGGAGATCGGGCTGCAAGTTTTTCGGAACAACGGACCTGTGACGTGGTCACTCGTTTTGTTTTTTTAGTGGAATCCAGCACTTTTTAGTGTGTTTGTGGGTGGC